GCTTCCCCTCCCCCAGCAGCTGTGGCCTCTTTGTCCCCATTGGGCAGGTTTAGCTCCTGGGGCAGACACGTGGGTCCTGGGGGGCGGGCTTTAAACAATGGGGGTAACTGGAAAGCCCCACTGCCTAGGGCATCACCCCCCCTTCTTATTTCTCCCTCCACCCTCATCCCCATCCCACCCCCAAATGTGGTGCCCGTGGGGAATTACCACACCCGGATCCTGAACTCAAACACTCTGGAAGAAGCTCAAGGTCAAGGAAACCCCAGGGTCCTGTGGAAAGTGCAGGGGTTTGAGGGCCAAGCTGGTCGTGTTTCCCTTAAGAAACTGGAGGTGTTTGCCCAGACTTTCACACCCCCGCCACGGCCTCCTCTGTGACGCAGGAGTGGCCGGCTGGTCTGCCCGGCTGCTGGCTCCGCAGCGGGCCATTAGTTCACGCTCCTCCGCGTGTGCTGCGTCACTGTCCCCGCAAATGCAAACGACAGCCTGCCCATCTGCAGCCTCAGACGGCTTTCTTGTCCGTTTGTAACAAAGACATGCGTTTTAAAACACTGCTCTCTATTTTGGAAACTATTAACAAAATAAAACAGCGCAAGCCCAATGTTTCCATGACCCTGTGACCCTTGGCCTCAGTGCCCGGGACAGTGGGGCAGGGGAAACTGTAGCAAAGTAGCAGGTCCCCCCCCCCACCCCCCACCCCCCCCGCCGCCCTGTGGGAAGGACCTCCATTTGTTAACAAACCCGTTGTTTCATGTAAAATGCCCACCTAGTCTTAACAAAAGTTAGAATGTTACTACAATTGCAGAGTTTAGAAAGATCCTCTGACATCTTGTGCGTTGACTTCATTTCTTGGATGATTCGAAGTTCCTGAACTAGGCAGGTGTGTGGTCTGAAGTAAGCCTAGGGTTCACCCGCGAGCACGGGTCGGAAACAGGCAGACAAGGGGTGCGGAACGCCCTGGGTCCTGCAGAACCTCCTGCAAGCCCTCTGCCCGAGAAACTCAGCACCACGACCGGAGTGGTCTCTACGTTTAGAGAACAAATTACACTTCCAAAGCACCACCCACGGGCTCGGTTGGGTTGCCCAACACTCCAGTGATAGATGTGGGATCCTTTTTTATTTTTTTGTCCCAGTCTACAAATGGGAAAAATCAAGGGGTTGGCCAAAGTCATATAACCAGTTACTAACTCTAATTTGCACACTTTATAAATCTCATATTACTAAAGACTTGGCCAGGCTCTTACATTAAATAATAATGCATTTCAGCCTTCGAAATTATTTTGTAGCAGCCCTGGCCAGGTGTCCAGTGGGTTACAGCGTCTTCCCCATATGACAAGGTTGTGGGTTCGATCCCTGGTCAGGGCACACACAAGAATCATCCAGTGAATGCCTCACTGTATACGCACAAATGCATCCCGAGTAGGAGCATGTCTAGCACGTTGTTTTGCTGGAGCCAGTGAACTCCCCTCGAGTTGCACCACGTTCTGTCACTTTCCAAGTTCTACTCCGAACACATGGATCATCTCTGCCTCACTGGACAGGAGCCCAACATTGTACGTATTTGTTCACATTCCGTTTGGCTGGTGGTCCTGGGACCGAAAGCCAAACAGTGGTGCTTCTGGTCCAGACTGTTACCACCGAGTGTGTGTGCATGGGGTGGGGTGGGGGTGGGGGGGTCTTTTCCTCTGTAAAACCTGAGGGCTGGCTACTAGGAGACTCTTAATGCCACTCTCAGAGCTAAATGTTCTGTCCTGAATAGGAAACAGTGAAAACTAAATACCCTGTGCTTGTAACTCACACTTGCAAAACACGCTCGTTCCACCTAATTGCTCCTTCAAAAATCCCTTGTGAGACCCTCTCCATGCAGCACAGAGGTGGTGTGACTAGTTCAGTCTTGCCGCACTTGTGCGAGGGGGCCAGACTCCGTCCTAGGTGTACTGCCCCCCCCCCCCGCCAGCCCCCAAACTCCAGGCTCTTCCTGCTCTGTTCCTTTATATAGCCCTTTAATTTTGTTAAAGAAGACTACATAAAACACGCACAGAATAAAACTTGGGCTAGTGTTACTTTTCCTGGATCAAGGGCCGAGAAGCGCCCGTATGACAAGTCACACAGTTCAGGGGCTGCACTGTCATCTACACCGATGGCTAGGCAATGACAAGGGTCAGGACTTCCGTGTTCCAGTGTGGAAGCATCTGGACATTCCTAGAGGGTCCGAGCACCCTTATCTCAGAGCCCAGTCCCGTCAAGTTCACTTGGTGGTGTTAATGCTTCTCTGAGAAGAAGCCAGTTTGGAAGAGGCGTTGGTTGCCCACCCCCACCCCCTGCCGTGTTTTCCCTTCCTGGGCACGCTGTGCAGAACTGTGGAGCCCCAGTGTTCACCAAGGCGGCGTGCCCAGAGCAGGGGCTCTCAAACCGCATGTGCATTACATCACCAGGGGCTGATGACAGCGGTGTGCTGGCCACTGAGGCGGGGCCTAAAGTGCTTGCTTTTTTAGCACGTTCCTGGGTAGTGCAGATGCTGCTGCTCTGGCGAACAGGTTTGGGAGCCTCTGGGCTACCAAGGGCAGCCACAGCCACATGCGATCCCGCACAATGGCTGTCCCGCCATCCCCTGATGAGGGAGACGGGCAGCTCTCCCCCACCATGCACAGCAGTCACCCAAACAGGAGTGGGGATGTTTTCATCATTGCAACAGCAGAGAAATAATGAAGCACGTGAATTTGGCCTCAACTCTTCCAACAGTACTGTAGGAGGTGGGCTTTCTGGGACTCTGCACAGTGGGGACCGTCCTTGAGGAACCCCTGGGCTGTTTCTCTGATGTCCCCCAAGAAGTGCTAAGATTGAAGAAGCCACAGTTAGATGTTTGTAAACATTTCCTTACAAGTAAGTTGGACAATGGTTAAAGTTCTCAGGTCATAAACACAAGGGTGCACGTGTGTGTGTGTGTGTGTGTGTGTGTGTGTGTGTGTATTCTATTATCCAAACCTAGACTCTTTCCACAGCTAAAGGGGGCATTTGTATTCATTGTGAAGGGACTGTTGCAGGCAAACAAGGACCTAGGTGTAGGACCAGCCGGCTAACTAAGACCCCAGAGAGAAGCAAGGAGAAAGGTATCTATATGGTACCTTTGGTATGCTCTTACACAGTCACCTCACACCAAGGTCTTAATCTTGGCTTTGTGAGTTGAGGACTTTCTGAGGGTGTTTGAGGGCGGGTTCTATTCCTCCTAATTTTCAACCAACCTGAAACAGGAAGTGGCAAGGTGTTTTCCCAAAAGGCTGGAAACTGACTTTGCTCACTCATGTATTCATTCTGATCACTCCAAGTCCTACGTAGCTTTTACTCCAGTACAAGCCCACTGGTGTGGCGATCCTGGCATGTTTTGACACATGCTTTCCTTGGTACAGGCAGGGACGGCCACGAGCCAGGCATCAAAGGCTGACTCAGACGAGTGTTGCACGGTCCAGCATCACCCAGGGGTCCTCCCGAGACTGGCTTCACTCACGGGAGCATGGTCAAGGTCAACCTGCCCCCAACACTGGGTTGCCTCCGGCTCCTGGGAGGAGCCCCTAGACCCTTTCATGAACCGCCCTGTCCTGGGTCAGAAGACAGGAGCGGGCAGCTGATGAGACGGAAATGGCCCAGAGAACCAGTGCACATGATCCACAGCTTGTTGCACCCGTATGCAAAAACTGGAAGTTTTCATATAAAAAATACAAATTTCAGACAGAAATTTACTTAAAAAAACACAGGATCCAGCGACACCACCAGAACCGCCCGGTAAGGGCCAGGAGGCGAGGAGGTGGGGAGCAGAATGGAGTCCTGGGGGAAGGGGAGGGAGCCGGAGCCTCCGGGTGAGGCCAGGCCGTGGCCCAGACACTGCCAGGGTGGGGACCACAGTCAAGAAGACACCTCTGTGTTTGTCACAGGGGAACATCAGAGTGTGACTAAATGCACATGCACAAGACAGACTGCAAGGTGTTAAACAAGGAAAGACTAAAGTTAGTGAGCCCCTGAGAGGTTAGGCTCCAGCTCTGGCTGGTGTGACCCAGTTGGCGGGAGCGTCACCCTGTGAACCGAGAGGTCGAGGCTTCGAGGCCAGGTCAGGGCACACGCCGAGGCGTGGGTTCAGTCCCGGTCGGGGTGCACATCAGGAGGCAACCGATCAACGTGTCTCTCTGAAATCAATCGATATATTTTTTTTTAAAAAGAGAGATGAGTCTTCAAAATTCTTTCTACTTAGAGAGAGTGGTTGTAAAATTATAATTTTGCTGTGATAAGTGAAGGCCATGTTCAGGGGCAGCAAAAGTTGCTCAAGTGAAAGAAAACACGAATGCCCCAAAGCTCGAGGGCATGGTCTTGGCAACGGCAGCTCCCAGGAAAACCGGAGGTTCAGGTACAAAGCTCAGGGGGAGAGGCCGGTGGAGAACGGACGGGGTGGTCTCGGGTGTCAGGCTCCCCTGCACCCAGAGGCCCCGGAGGGCATGGCCGGGCAGGCGGGGGGCAGCCCTTGCACGGGGCGCACACTTGAGTTAAGGCTGCATCTGGGTGCTTCTGAAGGATCTGCAGATAACAGTGCTTTCACACTTGCCTTGCTTACCGAAAAGTCAACTACTGTTTCTGAGCAGTTACTATGTGTTAGTAGGGAAAATCAAACCCTTCAGTACATAGCTTCATAAACTGAATGTATAGAGATTCAACAGAAGCACCCAGTGGACAGGAAGTCTCACAGACACCCAAAGGACCTCTGCGACGTGAGCATGCGCTATGGAGCGCGGGAGCGGACACGCACCCGCCTGCCACTGCGAGTGCCCGGCCCCATCTCAGGAGCTCCGAGTAGTCGATGACAAAGTCACACTCTGCACGTTCTCACGTAGGTTTATGTCAGATGACTTCCCACAAGCATTGTAATACAGTTCTATGTCAAGTCAAAGAAGAACAATTGTTTGTGTAATGGCTTAGGTAGGAAACTTAATTACAAATGTAAGACATCAAGAAGATACTCACTATTTTTTTGGTTTATTAAAACAAAACTACAATTCTGTGCTTCTTACAATACATGAACACTCATAAAAATCGATCAAGGTTTCCAAATAAGTGCCGCTCACAAAATCACGCCATGTAATTTCACAGTAAAAGCAACTTTTCACACAATTTTAATGTTTCTCTGTGCAACAGGCAAATAGTTCAACACCTCCCATCAAGGCATTTCTGGGCTTTACGTGTTCAGAAATAAAGTCAAAATGCAGTCATTAGTTTGTATTAAACTCAAATGCCAGCTGCCAAGTCTCGAGTTCCTAAAAAGAGTGTTTTAAAAAACAGATGTACGTTCCAAATTAAGTCTTATAAACTTCAGGAATAGGTCCTGTCGCTGCTGAACACTAGAACCACCGGTGGATAAAAATCTATTGTACATTCAATTGTGCAATATTTGTATCTAAATTGGAATAAAAATCGTAATCGCTTACCCCAGTTAATCTCTGTTAGTTTTGCTACTTGTAGTGAAAAAGCCCGGGATGGCCAATGGCCGGCCTTCCCGTCAAAGGAGAGGCTCGAACCCCCGTCCTGAGGTTCTCCGTGCTCCCTGTCCCGAAGGGAGGAAGCGCACAGGCGTCCAACGTGACATCTGTGCGGAATCCACACGGATTCGGCCTTCGTGCCACCTTAGCGACTGCCCGGCCTGGTGTCTCCCGAGGGAACCCAGTGAGAGTTCCGGTTCCCGGAAGTCCCAGAGGGGGAAGAGGCCCTGGGGAGACACGTGCGGAAACGCTGGGTTACACGGGCTCAGTCCTCGCGGGGCCGAGCCTGGCTGTGCGGCCGTGCATGGGGTCTCGGGAAGAGGATCCCCGTCCACGCTGACGTCACCAGTGGCACTTTGTTCCCCAGGACCGCTGCGGACGCCGCACTCGAACTGCGCCGGGAACTACGGGAGATGCTCCCCCACCCGCCTGGGACTCAGGACGATCCCCCACGCAGCTCCTCCTTGCCCCTCAGGGCTCCCCGGGACCCCCTGGGCGGAGGAGGCTGGCTCGTGGGGTTCCCTCTCCTGGCGGGATGGTTCCACACCAGCTAGCTCTTACCCTGTGTTTCCCATAAAATTTAAGAGAGCAAAAAATTCCTTCCCCTCTTCTGAATTACTCGGGACACTCTCATCTGGAAGGAGTGCCATTTCCTCCTGTTTATTATTGGGTTTTTTTCATTTGCGTTTTTAACTTGACTCACAGTCTTTCCCTAGAAGGCATGCATTTCGGTTTCAGAGAAATGCAAGAGAGTAAACTGTAATACATTATTGACAAGCACCTAATTTGTCTGTTGAATCTTACATGGAAGCCATTCGCTTTTGGAAAAGAGTGAAAATAAATCTCTGAAGCGAAACTGCTACCTGGAAGCCGGACTGGGATGCCACGTGTGTTCTCGGCAACGAGGCACTGAGGATGAGTTGTGGGGACATTCGCTTGGGGGACAGCTGGCCTGGGGGGCGTGCCTTTGGTTGGGATTTTTCTTCCTTAAAAAAGGTTTTCAAAGCACCAGTTACTTACAAAAAAAGCATGCATATTAGTCTCACAGTGAGTTGAGTGGCGAGAGAGCTAGGGGATCACAGGTTGCATTCCTCGAAGCATCTGGTTAGATTTCCAGAAAACAGACCGACCTCGAGGGGAAGTGCAGCCGGAGAAGCCGCCGCGCCCTGCTCAGCCCGGCCAGGCGGCGGCTTTCAGCAGCAGTCGCAAGCAGGGCAGCGGTGCCCACGAGGAAGTCGGTCCCAACCCTGACGTCCCAGAGAGCCGAGGGCCGGTCTGAGGACTCCTGGGTCTTTCATTCAGGGGATGAAGAGAAGAGACTAGTGCAACGTGTGCTGGCCTAGAGGAAGAATACACTCGGGGACAGGTAAGCCTCCCTGTGCATCCCCGGACCCAGGACCCCCACTTAGGGAAATGAAATGCTACAAGGTGGAGGCCCCGCTCCACGCCAGAGCCTCAGCAACGATGATGACCATGGCTTACATGGTGCAGGCGTCCCCGTCAGAAAGGAACATAACCCCAGCGGGGGACCCGAAGGGGGGTGGGGGGCCACCACAGCCCCATTATTGCTACGAGATTATTTTAGACAAAGTGAAGCATCAATCAGTGTCCTGCCCTCTCCCCGCACACACAGAGTATTCATGAAATACGATTAGTGTTTACAAGACAAGCTTATGGAAGTACAAACTTCATTCTCCGTACTTTTATACTAAATGCAAAGACTAGATGCAGTATTCATTAGGAAAAGTTCCTCACTCCATGAGACCACGGAGAGGAGGAAGAGTGAGCTGCTGGAAGACGTTTCACTATCACATGATCCTCAAGAAACCACCACAATCACCACACTTAGCGAACACATGCGCTCCCCGCTCACAGAAAGGAAGGCTCCTGCCTATCAGGAACAGACAGGCTGACACAATGATCGGCTACTACGTGGCGTCGGACTTGAGGCACATAATGCCTCTAAATTTTTAAAGGGCCACGACTTTTCCTCAAAGCTAAAGGTCCACAATAAATGCCTTTGACAATCCACCATTCAGCAGGGCCCCCACCAGTGCTGCCCGCGCTGCACACCGCACACCTCGCGTGGGCACCAGTCACCTGGACCAGGCTCCGTGCACAGTCCTGCCCACGGCCCGTCGGGCTGAGCTAGTGAGGTCCGGACAGCTGCTCCCTGGCTGGAGGATCTCCAAAGACCAGCCGCCCCCGTGAGAGGCAGGCACCCCCTGAGGGGTGGGAGAGGAAACAGACATGAAACAGAAGTCATTCCTAAATACTTGCTGGTCAATAAAAACTCAGTGGCACTTTTTTTCCCATGAGCAAAATTGTTCAAAGTCAGTTTTCTGGCCAGGTTTGCCTTGAATCATGCCAGCCAAATTGTGCCTCCTGGCGTTAGCTGTCGATCACATCACCTCTGTCCCTGACCTCATCAAACACTGTGTTTTCCCGTAGTTCGTCACACCCTTTCTGAATCTGACTGCGCAGGACAGCACAGCGTGGTGCCTGGGTGTGGGGTGTGCCAGCCCGTTCTTTCGTGAAGCACGTGGGGGTGGAGGGTGTTCCCGTATAAAAGGTACCTTCTATTGACAAAGATAAAACTGGGGGGAAAAAAACAGTAAGTGGATGACTTAATTACTTTTAAAGGAAGATGAGCGGTTAATGAGAAAATATACCAGTGGATTGCCCGACAGCATTAAGTACACCACGCTAGATTCCGTTCAGAATACAACTACATTTTTTTGTCCTTCACAGTAATTAGTCCTTAACAGTTACACTTAAAACGCGAGAGTTTCATAAACTCCAGAATCATTTTTGAGATTTCACTTTGTAACCTACTGATTAGGAACCGCGAGCGCAGGCAGAGGGCCGTGCAGCGTCGCCTGCGGGCTGCCGTGCCGCCTCGGCCCGGGGAGCCCCCGGATCCCTGGGGGGAGAAGGCACTTGTCTTCCAGGAGGTCACGTGGTCGCGACAGGGCAGCCCAGCCACACAATGGCACCTTCCGCTTTCCAGCAGGGCCGGAGCCCGCGCCGCGCCGGGGCGTCCATGCCCCTCACCGGCCAGAGGTGCCGGCGCCGCCTACAGCACCACGAAACTCAGAAGGTATTCTAGGAGTCTTTGCCGGTTGCACTGAGGTAGGAAAGTGCTGCTGAGTTCTATAACGGACACCCGCTTTTGTTTGGTTTCTTTGAAAACCTGGAGAGGAAGTTTAGATTGCATTAAACACACAACAAAACGGGGCATTTCCGTCACCAACTCTGACCTGTGTCCCAGACCTCCCTGAAGCAGGAAGGCATGTGAACCCATACCCTGGCTTTAAGAGCACGTACTGCACGTGTCTGCGAGTGTGGGGGCAGGGGGGGCAGCCAGCACGTGCACTCCACAACTCGTGCTCGAGTAAAGTCGCCCACAGCCCTTTACAAAAGCCACTGCAGGTCCACAGGACACGCGCCCCGTGTGAAAGTCAAGGACAGCTGGGGACACTTCTCGCACTGCTGGTGAACACAAGGAAATAACTGGGAGTCGTGAGGCACAGTGAACATCCCCGCCAGGCTGCAGAAGCATCTCCAAACACACTGACACATTATGTACAAACAGTTTTGGAATGAAGCTGAGAACCAGCAAAATTCTGCAACTTCCAAAGAAACCTACCCTGATGAGCCTCACCTTCAACATGCCCCCACCCGTCCCCAGGAACGCCTCCATGACTAGCCCAGCAGAAACTGCTCCTCTGAGGGTGCCCCACCCCAGCGCACAGGGGGCTCAGACAGACTCGACCTACACAGAGAGAGAACGGAAGCTGGCACGAGCTTTCACGCTGTGAGTGGTGGACACTTACCCCAATATCCTTAAACATTTTCAGGGCATTCTTCACAAGACAGTACGTGGCACTCTCAGCTGTGGAGAAGAATAAGATCTGTCAAACGTTCAGGCCCAGCAAGCCCCCAAACCCACCCAAGAAAGCAGGGAGGCTACAAAGAGGATGAGGGCAAGTCCGCAGGCTGAGGTCAAGGTCGGACTTTGTGGCTGCGGCTGGTGACCTGTGAGGTCTCCAATGGTTTGCTGCTGCTTTAAACCTTCTGTGTCATCTTTTGAGAAAAAGGAGAGAGGAGAGAAGAATAAGGAGAAAGAGGAAGGAAGGAAGGGAGGGAGGGAGGGAGGGAGGGAAGGAGGGAGGGAGGGAGGGAGGGGAAGGGAGGAAGGAAAGAAGGAAGGAAAAGGAAGGAGAAATACCTAAAACATCCATCTTGCAGGGGTGTTGTGAGAGGCAAACGGGGTGTGAGGGAACCCTTTTAAACGGCGCAGATGGTCCCCACAGCAGTGGAGCCCGAAAGAGCACAGGTCAGAGGCCAGAGAACTCGAAACCCAGGCTGGCCCATTAACTAGCTCTGTGACCTGAACGGTCTCCTCATCTATAAAGCAAAGGGATGCTGTCGCTAGATGGAGATCCAGACCAGATCCATCTGTGTCTTCAGACAGAGATCTCTCCAGATAAGGATCTGGATCAGACCAACATGTCTCCAGACAGAACTCTATCTCTAGAGATCTCTGTCTCTAAAAACGATGCAAGGTGGTTTCGGTTCTAAGCCATAACTGTATAAAGTGCTACCCCCGGGCCCATCACATCTCTCATTCAGCCAACAACACAGAGTGCTGGCCAGGATGGGGAGCAGCCGAACAGACACCGCTGGTGGAGGTGCAGACTGAGCACTACCCGCCTGCGAAGCATCCTCAGGACCCACCGCGCCCTGTAACCAGGCAATTCTACCCCTAGATATGCACCCAACTTAATGTGCATGTACGTTCACCCAGAGACACACGCTCACTTGTGCGGAGCGGCACCATTCACAGTAGCTCTGAACGGCAAACAACCCAGGTACCCATCGAGATCACAGCGCATCAGTAGGACTCGGTATTCATACAATGGGCCACTACAGCGCAACAAGAACAAGCCAACAACGACGTGCAGTGCTGTCCACGAATCCCACAAAAGATGGGACTACGGAATGAGAGGTCAGGACAATTTTGCAAATGTTTCCCCCCATGGTTTCCTACAATGAGCCGATTCCGGTAATCGAACGATCATGGGTTTGCAAGGAGCCCGACGAGCGGCACACGCACCGTAGACGGCGATGCTTCTCTCCGCTCTGGTGATGAGGTATCTGTGCAGCGTCTGCAGGTACTCCGGCTCGGGCACGGGGCCGCGGAAGTTGTGGATGAAGACCGCGGCGGAGCTGTAGGCCTCCAGCAAGGGACCCAGGAGCCTCTGTAGGAAGGTGATGAACTGCTGGTGCTCCTTGGACTGGCTCACCTGGGCAAGGGCGGAGACCAGGTCATGGAGAAGGGACCGAAGAAATGACTCACTGATGGAGGAACTTCCCGGGGTCCCAGTAACTTCAGAAGGCGGCTCTCACTGTCACTACCCAGAAGCAGCCTGATGTTCCGTGTGCACAGAACCCCTGCCAGAAATGACTGTCCGTTTTAAAAAGCATTCTTTTTCATAATCGTTGACTTTTAACGTCTGTGAGGTTTGTGTTCATTGAGCATCTGGCTAGAAGAAACCGTCATACTTGAACGACATAATTATGACAATCAGTATTGTCATCACTGAAAATAGCCAGTCCCAAGGTTAGACTCTACCGGGCTGGAAGCCTGGCTCAACAGTCACTCAAGCGCACAGCCAGGTCGCATGACAAGACCACAAGATCAGCTCAGTCCCTCCCTGTCCCCACTTCCTGCTGCCCTGAACTGTCCAGCCCACAGTCCAGCAGAGGAAGGGAAGTGGCGGTGGTGACGGGGAGGCTCTCACTGTCCCCGCAAAACAGGCATATTCAGATAAGCTCCTCGGGTGTGTGCCAAGCTAGGTCACTGCCCCATCCTGGAACTAATAAAGCCCAAATGGAAAAATCTTCTAAATGTCACTGGGGATCTCCAGAAGCTACACCTCCCAACTCTGTGTGTATGTAAAGGAGGGGTGTCATCCCACTCCAGAGAAGTAATCCACTTCAGGTGTTCAGAAAAGAGCAGTCGTCATTATTCATCTCTAAAATGACAAATCAGACAAAACTGATTTCTCTAAATCAGGGACAATCGAACTTAAAAGTCTGAATTTCCTCCTGTGATACAATTTGTATTAATCAAGGCAAAGAGCTGGAAGCATAAAATTTTAGAAGGGATGGCAAGACCGAGAATGCTCAGCAAGAGCAGCCGGCCAGTGACAGCTGGCTGCTGACTTCTCCACCGTAGCTGGAAGGCACTGCCTTGCTTTGGCGGTGACCGAACAAAAACACCGCCTCCTTAGGAGTGAGGGCAGGTGTGCAAGCAGGTGTGCACACAGGTGTGCAAGCAGGTGTGCGTGCAGGTTGCACCTGTCTGTTCTGGCAAGAGGGTCATGAAGGCATCGACCAGGACATTCACTTTCCTGAATTTGCACTTGTTTCCTTTTCCATTTAATTATACTCACAATTTAATGTATTAATTCAACCCCAACAGTTTGCATGCCTTTATTCAGTAGGTCGAAAGAGCTGCAGTGCTTTGTGGGTACTTTAGCTGTGACTAAGCCACCAGAATCCCACCTTCTTGGGAGCCTCATTAACTAGTGGCAGCCTCGGCCTCCACCCATCAGTGTAACGTCCACCAGCATTCCTCACCCAAGTACCTTCAGGTAGCAGTCTCGCTGCTCCTCACCGAAATCACTGTCTTCATCTTCTTCATCACTCCTCCAAGACAAACGTTCGGGAAGCTTCTTGTCCCACTGCTGCTCAGCAAGACCGGGGCTAATATCTTCCTGATCGTCCTGCTGTGCCAACGAGATGACCAGCAGTGAACCGACGTACACGGCACACACCACACGCCCCGCCGACTGGGCCCCGGCCACGCAGTTTGCTGGCATTCCCTCCCCTGCCCTTCTCCGGCTGGCCCTTCACAGCGCCAATCCACCTCCCTTTCCAACCGCAGAACCACTCAGGAAATGGCAAGGGAAGAAAGGAGGAAAGAAGGGGTTGGCAGAAAGCTACCAGGCACATCAACTAAAGATACCTGCACCCTTTCTAAACTGAGATCTGCTTCCCCAGGTCATAAGCACACTGCTAAATTTACCACAATGAAAACAAAACCTCAAAAGAGAAAAATGTGCTTTCTCAATGCGCTTTCACTTGCAAGTGACAAGCACATTGAGAAATAAAACATCTCATCACACAGAAACTTCGGGATGCCTGGAGTTGAGTCCAGACACATTTTACACAACAGCAGTCACACAAAAGGAACCAAAATATTAAACAACCCCAAAGGACATTTATCCTCCTCATTTTGGTTTTTCTCTTCTCTTCATCTGGGTATGTCAAAGGTAATTATTGGCTAATAGAACTGGTTGTTATGTTGGTTAAAATAATTGGTAGAAAAGACAAGGGAATGAAGAGAGAGAAACTAAACAAAGGCAGATAAAGACAAGCTATTTCTCTTACCTCCGCCACTGTAAGAATGCCATACTGGATAAACCTTCCTACTGCCTCATGGCAAATTTGGTAAAATGTCTGGCAGGGCTGAAAAGAAAAGACATTTAACTGTCAAAGCCAACGCACTGCACTGTTACCTACAATCGCCAAGACATGGAAGCAGCCCAAGCGTCCATCAATAGATGAGTGAATAAAACAACTATGGGACGTTTACACAATGGAATACTACTCGGCCATAAAAAAAAAAATATTTTACCCTTTGCGACAGCACAGATGGACCTGGAGAACATTATGCTGAGTGAAATAAGCCAGTCAGTAAAAGACAAATACCATATGGTTTCACTCACATGTGGAATCTAATGAACACACTGAACTCACCAGGGAAATGGGGACAGACTCATAGATGGCGAGCAGATGACAGCACAGGTTGGGGGGGTGAGGAGGTGGAAGGACTGAGCAAAGAGGAAAATGGACCCATGGACATGGACAACCGTGTGGGGACTGCTGGAGGGAGGGGGAATAAGGGGACTAAACAGTGATGAAAAAAAATACAAAGATCGCCCTGGCTGGTGTGGCTCAGTGGATTGAGCACAGGCTGCAAACCAAAGTGTCACAGGTTTGATTCCCAGTCAGGGCACATGCCTGGGCTGCAGGCCATGGCCCCCAGCAACCGCACATTGATGTTTCTCTCTCTCTCTCTTTCTCCCTCCCTTCCCTCTCTAAAAATAAATAAATAAAATCTTTTAAAAAATACAAAGATCAAATCAAAAATATAAATAAAAATAAACGTCAATGTCAGAGTCCTACACTTCTTTTGTTAAGAACAAAAAAACAGTGTACAAGGTAGCTGCTATGTACTTCCATGATACGAGCTACTGGGCACGTCCACTGGGCACGTCCTAAGACTTCTGACGCCCGCCCCCCTGATAAATACCCATGGTCGTGGGAACAGCCCTGCAGAGACCATGCCCACCTGCACGGCAGAGCCCCCGCCGTGGCACCACCTGCGAAGGCGCTCCCAGCTCAGTCTCGCCCCCTCCCCCAGTGGAGCCAGGCCTCACGGGGCTGCTTGTCAGGCCCTGCCACCTACTTCTTTCCCTTTACAAGACGTTTTCTCCCTAGAAGCTCTCGTGGAGTAAATGTGGTACATAACGGTGGTGCACGAGGAAACACAATAGTAAAATAACTCCACCAGACCCAGGAGAAGGACGAAGGCAACCTTGGGAGCCTTATCCACCCTCCCTGCTCCCCATCCCCCGAGGGCCACCAATATGCCACCTGCAAAGGCCACCATGCAGGACAGGAGGGCTGTGCTCGTAACACTCATACTCATTCACAAATGTCCCACGACACACTCGTACAAGTGGATGGGAGAGAACACTAGACTTTAAATAAAATATGAATTCTATCTGTTGGGTTGCTTTGAGGAAAAAATCTCTCTCTACTGCTTAATACGTATGCCTCATTATAAATGCCAAGGAGTGCTTGAAAACAACATAAAATGCTCCTGAGTACTGCTGGGCCTTAGTTTCCCCATGTGGGAAGTGAGAAAGGGTGGAGCACATCTGCTCTTCAAGGCTGTTCCTGCCTCTTATCTCCTGTGTTTCCACCATCCACGAGCGGCCGCATTAATTATTTACGAGCCTCTGACCCAGTGCCTTCTGCGAGATAAGAGCTCGGCAGCCTTGGGTCTGACCGAGGCAGAATGTGGCGCAATCGCGGGTGCACGACGGGGTCACCGGGGCAGTGACTCCAACAGCACGCCCCACACCCGGGCAGCAAACAACAGACTGCTTTGGAGAGCAGTGGGACTGGCAGGAGAATGAACGGGAAGCCTCGGCCACAGGGCGAAAATTCTCTAAGAGAAAAACAAAGGTGGCTGATGTCCATAAAAATGCTTAGGAAAAAGAGAACAGGCAACACGAAAATCTGGTACTTACAAGAGAGATGGTGCCTTCGTTGGACAGCAGGTAGCACAGGCTGGCCGCCTTCCGCACCAGCTGCTCCTGGCTGATCAAGCTGGGGGACCCGCCAGCAGGCCCGCCCGCGCCCCTCTTGTTCTGGACTGCGTAAAGGCTGCAGGCTGAGGAAAGGAAAGCATCGGTGAAACCAGCTGCCTTAGTGCGCCAAGAAAAACTTCGACTGGCTCGGATAACTTGGATAACCTCACCAGGTTGTTACGTCAGAAATAATGATCTGCGCCCTGGCTGGTGCGGCTCAGTGGATTGAGCAACGGCCCGTGAACCAAAGGGTCACCAGTTCGATTCCCAGTCAGGGCACGTGACTGGGTTGCGGGCCAGGTCCTCAGTAGGGGACACGTGAGAGGCAACCACACACTGATGTTTCTCTCCCTCTCTTTCCCCACCCCCCTTCCCCTCTCTCTAAACAAATAACATCTTTAAAAAAGAATTATCTGCATTTCCCTGGAGAAATTTCAGTCAGCCCCCTGCAGGATTCACTTCCCATGAGTCCACGTGATCCCAGCTCTGCCAAATGCCCTCCCCGGGGCCTTCGGTCCCCTCCGCTCTCCTTCTCCACTGCCCCCCTTGGTCACAAGTGAGCCCCCACCACTCACGTCACTGCCATGGGAACGGCTCCTCTCACCCGGTTTGTCAGCTCCTGGAGAGAAAGACGCCGCACCTCTCTCCCTGAGTCATCGCTATCAAACTACGCACTAACTCAAGAACTGCTTGTTGAATAGTCGATGTGAAAATGAGCTATAAGTAGCAATAGAGCAGACTATATTTTTATTTGAAAGCTAAAAATGCAGCAACGCACTCCCTCACACTAGGGGCTACTGTCCAAACAGAGGCAGACGCCACTATGCGTCTTGGGCCCTTGTGTGTTCTGTGAGCACGTCCCAGGGCCCGCCGCACCTATGATGGCCTCCAGGAGAAAGACGTGCAGCACCCCGTTGCTGTAGAAGTTCAGCTCAAAGACGGATGGGACGGTCGTGCTGGGAGTAATAAAAAACTCATCGTTCCGGCTGGTGTGGGTGATGGTGACGCAATTGCCCAGCAGCTGGATGGCATGTATGACCACGTCTTCTGAATTTCCCGAGAACCCCAGGTCGAAATCACGAGCCAAGACTTCCTCCTTCATCACAAAGAAGTCCTCCACCAACGTGGAGAGATCCACTCCCTACAGAAACAGGCAGAAATGGTCTCATGACAGCGGAAAACCTACTTCCCGAAAGGCCGAGGGGCCTTGCGAGGATTCTTTTTTCCTTTCCTTGGCCTTTCTGCAGCTGCCTGTAGGCACACACAGAAAAAGGGCCAAAGCACCAAAGCAGAGAAAAAAACTGGTGGAAACGCTGGTCCCCCAGAACGTCAAGAAACCGGTACCCCACACCCAGCATTCGAACGCCCGACAGCGCGCGGCCACCCCCGCCGGCTCACGCCGCCCCGCCCCGCCCCACGGACACACCTGCCTGTGTCTGTACAGCAGCAGGCAGGCCACGATGTGCGTGGACATGATGGCACAGGACTTGCTCGCCGCTGGAAGGCAAACACAGACCTTTAGCTGCACTTTTTTTTTTTAATATAACTGAACATTTTTTCAAAGTCCCTAAATCTTAAATAGGAGTATTTACAACTTACAAGCCTTCTACCACATTGCCCATAAAGGTGATTTATCAGGAGGAAGTGACCACATTATAGCGTGTTCTGGGCCATTAAAGATCATTGTTCAGCATATAACCGCATTCAGTCTAAGGCAGGCCCACCTTCCATGCAGGATAGTGGAATTCAGTTACTGAATGACCGAGAGACACCTTTATGGAAACACCAAGACCGAAAGCATAAGCCTGTCCTGCAAGCCCCACAAGGATACCCTGTTGTCCTGCACCTGGACTTGCCCCTGGCCGCAGTCTACTGTGCTGTAAGTCTACACCCCTCCCGCAGGTACTCACAGAGGTGCGGGGGAGGGGTGGCTCAAAGTCAGAGAAACTGGGTTCAAAGCCCAACCTCTACACTGACCAATGTCATGACTTGGGGGAAGTATCTTAAATTCCCAGCCTCAGCCTCCCCTCCCCCCCGTAAATGGCAACACTGCCTAGTCCGCCAGGCCACACAAGCTCAGAAGGGGCTGGCCCACCGAGGGCCCCACCGTCACGGTGCTCAATGCATTTCTGTGTCCTCTTTCCTGCTGGCTCTGAGGCCGGGAAGAAGGGGACAGAAATAAATCTGAGAATGACGCTAGTCCATAACCCCATACTCTGAATTTGTAGGACATTATGATCATAAAAACCAAATAGGACAATGCCTGTGGAATAATCTGAAATAAACACCATTTGTGAGTTTTCTGAGATAATGAACTCATGAATCCTTCACTCACATTGATACTGTCTCTAGTGTTTAAAAAACAAAACAGTACCCAGAAATATATTTATAGCCATTAAAAATGGTTGTAAAGCTTTTGTTAAAAAATAAATAAATATTTGTGTTAGAAATGGGAAAGAACACAATTATAAAACTGTGAAAAAGATTTTCAGAGACCAAACAGCAACACCCTGGTTACTTGGTAGTGGGTTTTATCCCTATTTCCCAATTTCCCAGCATTAAGGATGTACTGTTCCCGAATTCAAGCGCGGGAGAGAGACGCGTCAGATGTGCTGGGGAGGGAATGCCCTGGTCCAGCAGGAAGCAGGACGAGAGCGGCGAGGGTGGGAGGAGCCACAAGAGGCGCGGAAGCCTCCACCCAGTGTTGGCAGGCCATGCTGCGACTCTGACCTGATGGGCAGGGGGGCCCAGAAAACGGAGGGAAGGTCCGACGTGGCCTGCACACCACGGGGGGGCCACGAGGCTGCCGTGGGCCCACAAAGCGGCCTCTCCAGCCGGACATGGCACTGCCATCTGGAACTTAAGGAAGGCTGCGTCTGCGTTCAACTCGCTCCACGTAAATCGTCTGTGTACAGCCACCCCCCACTGAGAACAGCAGAAGCTCTTTAAGTGCCGAACCATTCATTCCACAGTTAAATATATGTATCCCCCTGGCTAAAAACAAGGTTTTACACGTGGCAGTTCCTCGGTATTTTCTGATAACCAGTCCCGGGGTCAGAGAGGAAAGGGACATGCAACTGTAAACCTAGATGCTGTACTACTACAGGTTGGCTCAAGGAAACAAATTTGAGAGCAGGAGAGGAAACCAGTCACTTTGGTGATACGAAACGCTTTGTGAAGCATGAGGCCTCCTAATCATCGGGCCCTGACGAGACGTTGCCCTCAGTCACCTCGGACCCCACAGTGCCGCCTTCCTGCCAGCGACGCACCCACCGCCACCTAGGACTAGGTGCTGCAGCCTGACGTGGAACCGAACCGGGCGGACCGGCTCCTGCAGTGCACGTGCCCAACCCGAACCGCAGGACGGCAGGGCGCCTCCTGCACTTACTGAAAAGAATGTGCTCGGCCAGGTTGGCGATCAGCCTCCTCCGGAGCGACTCCTCATCTGCATTTCTGGACTCGTTGGTGGACGTGTCTGCACCTTCGTCAGCAGCATCGCTGGGTCTGAAAAGGTCTCTTAAAAGTCAGACTTCTGCAATCACACTCTCTTACAGAGCAAACTACGTGGGCCTAAGGTGTAAATGTATCAGACACTGTAAATTACTACAGATTCTACATTTAAACCACAAATGTAGTTCGGGGGGTTCTTTTCCTTCATGATATACTCTGTTATGTGTAGTACACTCTCCCGGCCAAAACACACCCTTCGGTTATAACCAAACAGTCTATTAGTACATCTATTCTAAAACCCACTGGCTAACAACGCGCATGAAGCAAGATACCTTATTTTTAAATGTTTATGAAAATCTGACACTTGAACGCATTAAAGGAAAGGTTTAATATTCAGTTTCTCTAACACGTTAAAGGGAAGGTTTCACATTCAACTCCACTAAGGTATGATTAATTTTGAATTCTGAAAAATTCACACGGGAAACCTCTGGCACTGTGCACTTATGTACAATGTTACTATCTAGGTTACCATCTAGGTTACTATCAAAAAGAATTCAGGTAAAAAGCACAAGTCAAACAAGAACTCCTGCCTGATTTCACAAAATCAAGTAGATTTATAATGCAAATAAATCAAAAGCCTCCAAACTATGAAAGCACACCGCTTCAACATCCTTCAGAAAGCCAGGGGAGAGCCCTGGCTGGCGTAGCTCAGTGGATTGAGCACAGGCTGGGAACCAAAAGTGTCCCAGGTTCGATTCCCAGCCAGGGTACATTCTTGGGTTGCAGGCCATAACCCCCAGCAACCGCACATTGATGTCTCTCTCTGTCCCTCTATCTCCCTCCCTTCTCTCCCTAAAAATAAATAAATAAAATCTTAAAAAAAAAAAAAAAAAGAAAGCCAGGGGAAAAGCCGCTCAAGCTAGAAAGTGGAGACCAGCACACGCATGCTCCTCTTCAAGTTGCCCTGCACCTGAGGGAAAGCTGCTTTCGCGCTCCACCCGCTGCACTCCAGTCACCTGGGTGCAGCCACCCCACTGAGAACAGCAGAAGCTCTTTCAGTGCTGATACATAAAAATAATAGACACTTGAAAGTTCAGTGAATACGCAAATCCCCACAAACCTCACCTTGAAGGAAGTATGGCTGGTAGCAGCGCTTGTTCCAGAGAGAGTGGGGCGGACGCGGGTTTCTGACTCTGGCTTTCTAAATATTCCTGGGGAAGGAAAACATTCGCTCTCATTGTCTCGTTTACATAAACATATGTAAAACATATTCAATATTCAAAAAGTAAAGAGGGAGTTGTTGCATAAAACGCGCCGAGCTGCAGAGCCAGAGGGGTACTCTCCTGGCCCGAACTACCTCCAGGAGCCCAGTATAACCACAGGGTGCCGTCACGCACCAAGTCTAAGAGTTGGAAATACAACGAACAGGATGCTGCCTCAGCAAAATCCCCTTTATACATTAAAGGGGAAAAATGAACTTTTCTCACATCTTCAAAAAATTATTTAACATTTCCAATATTATTATTAGTGATAACGGACATAACCAGGCTTTTTAGAGGAAACCGGACAACCCAAGGGTCACGTAACAGTCAAAAGAACCTCAACCCCAAGGCCAATCACGGCGAGACAGAGACGCTGCGCCATAGCTTTAAAAGTGGTGAGAAATGCGGACGCCCCTAAACCAAAAGCCCGTAAGGCCAGAGAGCATCTAGCACAGCAATCAGAATCTTTTAAAATGAAACCAGGAAATGGAACAGGAGGAGAAGCAGGACCATTACCCATTCTTCTCCTTCTCTTGAACCAACTCAAAAACCTCCGGAATTCACAACTGCCGGGACCTCGGGGACCCAGGGGGCCCAGGCTTCCCCATGAGGACGACCCCACCCCCCAGCATGTGCAAGTCCTGGATTCCACGTGGTCGGTCAGAGCATCATCCCACACTGTCACCTGTGCCCAGCTTTTAGGGGTCATGTCTTGACAAATGTCCCCAAAAAAGCAATTTTAAAACACAATATAAAACACTGGTATATTATATAACAACATGCAAAATTCTCATGAATTAAAAAAAAAATAGCAATAAATGTTGAGCCCGAAATCTCCCAAAGTCAGGTATGTACTGGCCTTGGTTAACAGGCGTCAGACAGGTAGAAACATGTAGAAAAGGCCACTCTTGGCACAGCCCTCACTCTACAGGAGAAGGAGCTGAGGCGAGAGAAGTGGGAGCAGAGGCCGCGCCAGCGCTCTGAGTCAGCGTCCTGCACCACACGCTCACCTTCAAGGAAAACGGCTGCGCGAAATCCACCCGGACGCACCCGTAGTTTTTCCGCAGCATTCTGATCACGCCTCTTGCTATGCTCCACAGGCTCTCGTTCTTCTTCGGTTTCCCCTAAATTCCAATTTTGGAAGAATAACAGGGTAAGAAATAAAGCTCACAATACGCAAACATTCTGTTAGCCAAAGAACAGAGTTTTTGTTTCCTTTTGTGTTTATGGAAACTAGAAGCTTGTGTTAAAAAAAAAAAACAACAATGTGTGGACAAGGAAAGTAAGTATTCATTGATGAAGACCTGCCAGAAAATATTTAGCATGCAAAGGTTATAAAAGACATACTCATGTCATTGGGAGAGGTAATTTGGTCAATGAAAAACAAATCATTTAACACTCACTCAATAATGTCATTCACAAAAATACTACTGCGAGCTAATGAAGGACACAAATGGCCTCAGTTGAAGAGTTACGCATATTCTGTAGTTCTCAGATAAAAACAAGGTGTCAAAGAGGTTACTTATCTAAGGTCTGAGGATCACCAGAGTCCAGAGACTTCACATCAGACAGCTGAGTGTCAAATCCAGCCCCAGAGAGACCTTTAAGCTCATTCATTTAGTAAACCTTTACTGAGTATTTAAGATACATAAGGCACAGTGACAGCCATACACAATGGACACAGGACTCAGATATGACCCCACGAGACAGTCAGGTGAGTGGAATACACATTCAGAACAGACACCTACAAACACGAGGAGGAATTTCGAAACAGAGAGAGACAGATAATAATCCAGGCCTATCACTTAACTTTTAAAAGCTACAATTATCAAGTGCCCTTGAGCTTCTGACGCATTTGGCGCAGTTGGCTTGAAACAGGTACCTTGCCCAAGACTTCCACACTAAATAAGAACAAAACTAAATTCCTCTGGACCTCTCACAATGCCGGCAGGAATGGTGAGCTGGTAAAAGCATTCTGGAAGACTGTTTGGCAGTATTCGCCAGAGCTGGGTGCACGCAGGCTTTAGGACCCAGCAATTCCACTCTTAGGGACGTGCCCAATGGGAGGCACACACGTGGCCATCGAGAGAAATGTACACGAGTGATCACAGTCACAAACTAGAAACCAAACTGATTTTCCGCAGCAGCGCAGATAACTGTGGTATACTCATACACGGGGACACTGTGCAGCTGTGAGAATAAACAAGCTCCAAGTGAAGGCAACCGCAGGGATGAACCGGCTGCACAGACCCCGGCTTGAGCGAAGGAAACCGGATACAGAAAGACCACGCACGGCACAATGCCGTTTCCATGGAGTTCAAAAACAGGCAAAACTAGTCTAGTCCTTAAGAAGCCAAGATAAGTGGTGACCCTTGAGGGGACAGCTATGGGAGGGGCACAAGGGGAGTCCCCAGGGTCCTGATCATATTTTCGTGAGTTCAGTGCTGGGCTGTATTCACTTTGTGAAAATTCAAGGGATGTGCTTATGATTTGTGCATTCATTTTTCTAAAGCTATTATACTTACTTCAGTTAAAAGTTTACAAAAGCATTACTGCCATTCCTTAATTTAATTTATAGTTGCTTTGTCACCATAGCCCACCAGTCCTTCAGGCTTAAATTAAATCCGCACACACAAAGTAAGCCCCGGGGAAAACAAGCCACACAACCCCCCCCCCCCCCCCCCCCACTAGAGATGGCAACTCAGCGCTGAATGTTCCTCCACTCCCCAGTCCCACCACAGAGACAACCCTGGCACACCAGACCCTGTCACCTCCCCGGGTGTAGGCAGGCACCACAGCAGCACCGCCACCCGCTGACACAGGAGATGGAAGCCACTCACCACACCCACCCACGCCACGTTTCCTACAATGCTTTACAACAAGGTGGCACCAAACACATTCCTAATTAATGGGAAAAGCAACGGACTTGAAAGCAAAGAAGATTTTGGACAGGAAGTCCTCTTACCAGCTGTTCGCCATTGTAGTGCCCTTCAATAATGCGATCGTAGGAGATCCCCACAGGTATCACCAGGATGTCGGGGATGGTGTTGGTGCGCACAGTGTCTACCACCACGGACAAAAGCCCTGCCCGCGCGCAGGAGGTCTTTCCACTCCTAGAGCGAGTGCCTTCCAGGAAAATCTCCAAGAACTGCTGCTGTCGAAGCAGCTCAACTACGTGCTGGGATAGAGGAGAAAGTAAAACATGAGTTCGAGACCACCGGTCTTAGAAAAGGGTCGGCAGAGTTGAATCTTAAAAACACACACACACAATTTCGCTACTGACAAAATATTTTACTCCCGTAAATAATGACAAGACAGCTCCTCTAATGCTATGTTTTGGTGATCACAAAAAATAATCACCAAAGCCATACCCAAGCAATAACCAATCAGAGAATTCCTCAGACAACTGTTACTGAAAATCTCAGTCCAGCCCGTTTCCTCCCGCGGTGACAACCGCCGCACGGCTGTAGGGGGGGTCGGCGGGGACACGTACCCCGTGCAGCAGAGCTCTGTACAGAACGTCCTTCCGTCCGTCTGGCGTCTCATCCATCCGCCGTCTGATGAAGAAGCCCCCGAGCTTGTGGATCAAGGTACTAGAAAGCCAAAGATGCGTTAAGTATTCACCGAGAAAACGTAAAGGGGACACTCAAACCCCGAGTCACTTCAAGACATCTGCCATGCGAACATAAATCACATGCGTCGTTGAAGCTGCTGACGGTGAGAATGCGGCCATGTTCCCATTCTCCGTGATGGTGACGCTTCGGTCACTGACACCATTCATCGGTCTTTAGAACGTCGCTCCTCAGGCTGAGGCTCTACCCCGTCCACCCCGAGCCCAGAGCAGCCCGTCTGATGCGGCACCCTGCAACTTCGATGCTACAGGTTTACGTGGGTTATGAAACTCTGTTACATTTAAAACCCTGTCCAGGGTCTCGAGACACTGACGGTCAGACGTCCCCAAAGGCGCCTGTGGCACATGTGCCACAAAGTGAGCGTGCTGCCACAGAAGCCGCTTCGGAGAAATGTTCTCGAGTAAGCACTGCTCCGAGAGCGTCTCCGTGAGAGGAGGACAGCGTCCTCAAACTGCAGCCGAGCACAACCGTCTTTCAAAACACGGAACAAGAATCTGCTCCGTGCGCCTACACACTGGAGTGAAACCATTGTTTTTCACAGCCCCACGTCTCCTTCTGCAACACTGATTGACTTTTGATATGAACTTGAAATGTTCTAGTACTTACGTCAGCCTCTCCAAACTCAGAGACTCCTCCTACTCTTTCCAAAGAGAGGGACGTCGATATAACTAAAAATGTGAATATGTACACACAAACATTCGAGGTCTTCTATAGTCAGCATACAAAGACAACAGGAAGATGGTCCTAGAGCTTAATATCGCTCTTTGGGAGTAAAACTATGCAAAGTAAGTTCATAATGAAGGAGGTGAACCAGCCACAGAAGTAACCCTCGCTGAAGAGTGGGTTGTGAGCGTGTGGGCTGGCACGTGACAGAGGAAGGTGCCGGCGAACAGGCCCGGCCACCCACAGTCCGTCACGTCTGCAGGAACGGCGGGCTAAACGGTGACTGGGGCAGCTGCATGCCGAGGGCCGTTGGGTTACGAGAAACTGTCAGGGTTTGCAAGTACTGCCAAGAGACCAGGTGGAGGACCTGGAGAGGACGAGTATGTGAGTTATTCTGATGACGAAGGAGGCAAACCATTACGGGGCAAGGCTTCCCTAGAACCCCGATGTTGCTCCAAATCTAAGCCTGCCAGCGACTCTCTGATAACGTTCTAATTCAGTTTCGTGGCCCCTCAGTACTGGGAGGACACAGATATCACTCCCTGGGAAAGCACGTCTGCCCTGTGGGGTCACACACGCTGGGTGACAGCCAGCTGCCTGCCTGTGTTCCCCGTTAGATGAGGAGCCATCTGAGGGCAGGATCTAAGATCGTGTTCGCTCTTGCCTATGGCATGGCTGAGTGTCGGCTGACCTCATGAGTGGGCGGCTTCTTGTCAGTGGTTCCCGTGGTCTGCTCAGCCGCGGAACCACTGAGCTACGTGATTATGAATGAGCTCTTCGGACTGGGAGGCTGAGGATCAGACCTCGAAGCTGGCAAAGGTAACGGCTGCCACTCTGCGAGGCCCCACCTGCGCCCGACCTGCACAACCTGCCAGCCCACCTCCCTTCCAGTCCCTCTCTCCCTTCATCCCCTTACTCCCCACCGCTCACAGAGATGATTTCACTGATGCTTTATGCTTTGAAGTTTGAAACTGCAATTTCCCTAACCAGCTACACCTACTCTTTCCTCACCAGTTGCCCATCGGTGGACGGTCAGCTGTCCCGCCTACCCAGGTCCCTGGTGGTGAACACCCGGAAGTATTCCTCCCTCCACTCCCCTGCCCCTCTCTGGTGAGCCCTGCATCTGGACGAGCATTTGCTCTTGTACATTCAGCTTACTAAACACTTTTCCAATCGATGCCCACCTGTCCGATGGCACTGCTAGGCTTGTAATTGAAGCCTTCATTACCTTCTGCTTGAACTACTGCGACCGAGTCAGAATTGTTCTCAGTCCTTCTAATCCCGAATGAGTTTACAGATGCAAATCTGACCGTGTCCCTTCTCGAGTACAGGATACACTCTGAACTCTGGGCTGAGAAACTGTTCTGAGCTAGTCCTCACTGCATCTGCAGTCACCTCCCCAGACTCGACCCTTCCCGATGCATCCAGCATCCCAGACCTACTGAGTCAGCTGCTGTGGCCTAAACAAACCACGCTGTTGAGTCTCTCTGCCTCTTCACATACTATATCCTCTGAATGGAATACACTCCATCCTCCTGAAAACCTCTAAAACAGTCAATACACAGCTTCATGTGACACTGTAGTCATTGCAGGTTTCTAGCTCTTCGAAATTACAAGATGGATGTTATCAGGTATGGTTCTTCTTAGCTACCTTTATACCATCAACACCACCCCAGCTCTCCACCCTCACCCCCCTACTGCCAAACCTGATACAGTAACTTGCTATCTCATCTTTCTAAAGGCCTTGTATCAATTTGGTACATATTGCCCATAAAGTTTAGAGACTCACAGCTCACCAAGTGTCCCATATAACACACAAAATTAATGGTGAATGTCTTCATGCTTTTTTGTATTTTTCAAATTTTTCACCATGAACATGCATTACTTTTACAATGAAAATTAAAAAAAAAAAACTAACATCTTTACAATCATATGTTAAAAGGTTTAATTAAAAAAAAAACAAACACAAGTTCAGACCATAATCTTTCCCATACATCCAACGACGAGAGAAGCCGACCTCACCTGAAGATGGGGATGTTGAGATTGTTGCCGGAGGCGATGTACGGAGCTTTGATGTTGTGGCAGAAGAGAACGAAAGTGAGCAGCAGGTAGTCAATGTGGGACCGGTGGACCGGAAGAAATATAAGGGGCAGGTTCGTCTAGTGGAAGGAAAAATGCCCAAGGTCAAGTTCAATCACAGTTTACAATCTTAGATTTGGTTAGTCACTCAAACACTAGCTTACCAGTGACTCAGTCTTTAAAAACGTTTCCCAATAACACTGAATTCTCTCCCAATTGAAAGAATTCAATTGAATTCTTTCAATTTAATATTTAGCTAGCTAAAAAAAACTACAGAAAAAAAAATCAACGAAGAAGAGTAACGATGCGTTCAGGGTGAGTCTGTATCTCTGAGAGGCAGCTTAGGTTTTGGACTCAAGCCTGGTTCAGTTTGAAATCCTGGGCAAGTCACGTGTTAGCCACGACTGGTAAACATTTCTTCATCTCGGGGAGCCTTTCTTTCCTCATTTATAAAATAGGGACCATTCTACCTGATTTCCAGAATTGTCGCGAGGGAACTCACTACAGCAATCCTGCATACGGCTGGGAGGTCTCCCTTACCCCACTGCCCCTCCTCACATACACAGCTCCCGGGCGGGCAGCAATGCACAGTGGTAGACGAGAGAACATTTTCAAAAGAATTCTAAAATCACCCCACAAGCGCGGGGAAGATGGAATGACAGGTCCACATATGTCTTGCCTCAGTTGCAGCTTTAACCATCTCGAGTTGACCCTTGTGAATCTGAATGTTCCAGAAGAAGCTGTTGAACAGTTTTAGCAGCACCCATCCAGTCAGTCTGAAAGTAAAAACAAAAACAAAAGAAAGAGAAATGTGAGTGTGTGTATGTGTGAGTGTGTGTGTGTGTGTAGTGCTTGCAAGCAACTCCGCGTGTACATGCATGTGTGTATCTGAATTATGGAATCATACAGCCAACTTTACATGTACACTACTTATGAAAGTATCCATTTATTATGGGCGAAAATCTTACATTTCACTCTAATAGCACACTTTAGACTGGCGAATATTTCAGTGAGCAGAATGACAAGCAACCCCTCCCTTAAGACACGGGTATGTGAAAGCCAGCTCACAACTAGGGGAGAGAGCAAATATCGGCAGGACTGCTGTCATTCAACAGAGGATAAGACCCCTGAAAGCCTCCCACAGCGCCCCCTCCCACGGCAGCTGAGTAAGAACATAGGGAGGAGTCGGGTGTAACAACAGAACGTGTTAAACCATCTGGGACAGAGCGCCCTGGGCTGGGGAAGGAAGACCAATGGTTCGGTCCTGTCTGCTCTACACAGACGGCTCTTGTTGAAAATGTCTGCCTTGCCTGGCGGTACCTGATCATTGCTGGTGAGACAGTGGCAACCATTTCTTGCAGGATCCTTCTGGCTTTCTTTCTCACTTTATTGATGGCTTTGGACTGCTGCTGAGCCGAACCGTCAGGGTTTAATTCAGCAGCCACCTGGGCAATGGCATCTTGCACCCTGATTTGAAAATGGAAAGACAGGCAAGTCAGCTGGCTGCGCGCTACATTCTGTATTCAGTGTTTCGTAAACCATAGCTACAAATCACAAAACGAAATGTACCTTCTCTCTAATACGTGGTAACATGAGAGAGTAAGCTCAAGTGAAAAGTCTTTTCATTGCCTGCCCGTTAAATATTAAGGATATCATATTCCTAAAGCAATGAACCCCTGAGGACTCTGGAAGACCAATTTAGGAATTTAATTTGAATGCTCTGTGAATTTCAATGTTCCGGTTACTCTGTGAGACACACAAAGCTGCACTCTAGCAGAAGAGAGGAAAGGAAGATAATCCATTTAGGCTTGTATTTCAGAGGCATCCAAAACCCACTGCCAAAGTAGTATCTAATTTTACTTTCGAAGACCTAATTAGTCATTTGTATTCTGACTCTTTAGAACTATATGTGAAACTCCCTAGGAGGGATGCAAGGGGGACATAAACATTCACAAGTGTTTTCTAATCAAACCAATAATTTTCAAAGGCGGAGCTGAAGAGGAGGAAATCAGCACAGAACAATAGCAGCGAGGGAAAAGGGAAGACTCTGCCCGTCTGATAAACCCTCCACAGGAAGCAGGGAAGAATGCGTGCGGTCAAGCCTCCTTTAATCACTTCTAACATTCCGGTGTCTAGTGAAAACACCTGGGGGGAATAAAACACGCGGGAAGGTTTTTACCTAGAAAACAGAATATGTGATAATCCAAGGAGTTTCAAATAATTGTGTTTTCTCCTGCTGTTGCTACTATTAGACAACTGTACAGCACAACTCCACACAGCCCCACAATTCCTTTACACGAAAAGACCAGCCCCACAGGACACGGATCACCCCAAGTCTACTCTTTGAGTAGCGTTTATTTCGATCTGGCCAGCGATGTTTTCACAAGCAATTGACGTGATTATGACATCTCCATGATCAAATAGTCATTCATTCACTCAATAAATATTTGAGTACCTATCATGTGCCACCACTGTTCAGGCCTTAACGCCCACCACACAGGGCCTGCATTGCTGACCATCTGTCCATCTGTCCATCCGCCCGCCTCCAGCTACCCAAGTCCAGGCAGATGTGGAACATGGGCCACACCCATGAGGTGGAACAGAGACCAACCTTCTTCCAACCCCCCCACCCCCCGTATTCTCATGCCTGGTCTTTGGGATGATTCATTTCCCCACTCCATCGGAGCTCAGGCCAGTCTCTTCCGTTTGTAAGCAAGCTCCTCGAAGAGCTAGGACAACATCTTATTCTCTGAAAATTCCTAACAATGACTTTCCAGCATAAAAATTTGTGCCTAGGTGCTCAATAACTGTTTGACCAAACTCACTTCTCGTTTGGCTATAAAATAGAAAATGCAATGTTTTAAACATTCGTCTCACAAAACACGTAACAGAGAACTCGGGAAATCTGTGCATGTATTAGAAACCTGTTGATTTGTTAACCCATGAAACAAGACTGCTGTTCTCACAGGGCACTGCTCACCCAAACCACCTGTCCTGCCTTTCCTTGGTTCCCCTTTGGAGCTTAATATTTAACTTGGCAATGCAGATGCTTCTGGAGACAGAGTCCCAGAGACGCCGAAGCAGGGGTGTCCAACCCTGGATGGCTATGAGTGCGGCCCAAGCCAAAGTCATAAATTCACTTAAAATATTATGAGATTTGTTTTTGTGATTACATGTCGCAATGTATTTAATGTGTGAGCCAAAACAACGCTGCTTCTTCCAGTGTGGCCCAGAGACACCAAAAGGTTGAACACTCTGCACTCAAAGTTAATAGAGGAAATTACTTCCTCATCCCCGCCCCATCACCATCCCCGCCTCTCCCCTTTACAAGGGTGTCCCCACCCTTACCGGCTGCTGTTCAGCACATTTTCTGCCACATTGGTGGCAAACATGCCTTTGTGGACATCTCGCTCTTGAACAAAAAGCACGTAAGAAAGACGCCTTGCAAGCCATCCTCGGTGCCTGCAATGTGAAAGCCATTCAGCAGAGAAGTACTTTAGTACACTTTGAACGAGTTGCTTACATTGTACAGGGGTTTCTCTCCAGTAAAAACAAGGCCTCGTTTCGTCTACCCCTGAGACCGGGCTTCTCATGTAGCACATTCTCCTTAGGAGCTCAAGCAATTTCATTCCCAGTTCCTTTCATGTATTCTCAGCTAAAATTTAAACTTGGAATCTGTGTATCGATGCTGGAATAGCATTATTTTGCAAAATAATAACCCAAATACAAAAACAAAGAAATAAAAAATCATACTTTATGATACCATAAAAAAGAAGTGAATATATTTAATTTTATATATATATATCACAATACATCTTATAGCTATAGCTATGTGCTATAAAAGATGATTTGGAAGTCTCTTCCTACCATCCAGGGCTAATTTTGTAGTTGCTGTCATAGTAATTCTAAGGTTATTTTGTGGGCTCACAAAGCCAGAAAAGTTCTTGCTCTTAAAAAAATAAAGCACACACACACATACACTCAACGTGGCTAAGGGACGGGACACACTCCTCCCGGGGACTGTGTGTCATCTGGCTGAGGAGGTTGGGGACAGGCCTCCCAGAATAAGAATGCCACAAACCTTCATTGTGCAATGCTTTGATACCACTCACACTGATTATATAACGCCTCATTAGCATTCCCACCATAATGATATGCACATAAACAGATTTCAGTTATAAATGCATCAGCTCTGAAAAGCCCCGGAGCAAGGAAAAGTAATCTGGGGGAGAACTGTTTATGAACCACATGCTCCTTCATCTTTCCTTTCCGACATTCTCTCTTGCTTCCTCCTTTTCCTTTCTCTCCATTCTCTGAAAACTTGGCCCAGTGTGTTCGGTGTTTAATTCTAACCTCCTTCTTCAGTGAAAAGTTTCAGTGAAAAGTTTCAGAATTACGACTGGAATGCACAAAGTCCAGACTCTCTATGAGACCCCTTTGCAACTGACTGAGAGCTGTGTATGTGTGTAAAGACGTTCAGGCTTTGCTTCACGTGGTGCGCGGAAGAGCTAAAAAGCCAACTCAACTCCACAGGCGGCTTGTTACTCTGAATAATTTCACTTTGTCTTGTCAACATAGCTTTTTTCTCTTGACTGCCTCCAACTGAGGGCAATACGTGGACCCTTCGCCTTTTTACATTAACTGTGAACTTACATAATGAGGAGACCCTACGAAGTCTCTTTTCTTAGGGTCTTAATCATGTCAAGCAAGGGAAAGGAAAGAAGTATCAATGAACCAAAATCTCTCCTGTCACCTTTAAACTTAAGAGAGGGGGAGGTGGGAGGGAGGAAGAAAGAAGACAGGGGAGCATGAAAATGGGAAAAATACATCCCTTCAGTTTGGCTGAATTTTTTAAAAAAATCTTAACTAACATACATGTGGATATTGTCATGCTCATGTGACCTCGTCATCAAAATACAGACCATCACATCAGAAAGACTCAACATTTCAGCATTTCATTTCTTGGACCTGTTTTTCATAAGAATTCAGAAGCATTTCTCATCACCTGAGCTTACTGCTTACTGATGCCAGGCACTTGCTCACTCACTCTCAGACTTAGAAGCACTGGTAGCAGTTTTGGCTGCCGTTGCTCCCCTGCCTCAGAGACACTCACACCACCTCCCCACCCTCCTGTCTCCTCCCCTAGCCTAGATTCACAGGAACAAAGCCTCTTTTCTCCGCTCCGAGGCCTCACAGCCTCTCCCCATTTGCCTGGAATTTGGAAGTAAGAATCCTAAGAAAACTCTTAAGCTAATAATTTCTTAAAGGACGTTTGCTCAACAGAGGAAAATATTCTCTAAAACTCTAGATTAGCTTTACTTTTTTAAGCACAAAATGGTTATCCTTTATTTAAGTATAAACTAGTCGTAATAAAGCATAAGACATTCAAACCTACACCTCTCCTCAGACAGATCTTTAACACAATTTAGAACACTTCAGATGCAAAATCAATACATGAATAAGTTAGAGAAAGCTGTTAGTGATATCTGCACTCTGCAGAAAATGTTTATTATATAACTACAGCAGTGGTACTAATAATAGGTCTCTCGGGTGGTTATATTGTTTCCAAATTTTAGATAAAGCCACTTGTGTCAGAAGCTCATATTCTATTCACTCTCAAAAACATGAGACTCATCTTAAAGTGCACTAGTTACGATGGAGTTTTTCTTTTGAGGTGTACTAGAAGTGTAAGAAATTTCTTTTTACCTGGTGTGCGTTTCATTGATATAAATAACATTCCGCAAACCCAGAGACGGGATGCTGGGGTTGAAAAACTTATCCTGCAGAAGACAAAATAAACACAGAGGTAAACACACAACTGGAGTGCTGGTGGCGGGCCCACATCGCCGGTCCTTGCCAACTTTCAGAATTCAAGCATGACCTCAGGCGTTACTTCAAAAATCAAAGTGATGAAGAAAGATTACATTTTATTGAAAAGTACCTTTTAGCCTTTAAAGAAGGTCACAAACTCAAAATTAACCCTTAACATCGTGCAAAGGATATAGTGCCTCCCCCTTTCCTACCCCGACTCCCCACCCACCCTCCAACCCCAAAGAATCGAAGCTACCGAGTGCTTAAGTCATTGGCAGAGATGCTGGAGATTTCAGTGTTGCCAAAATAGAAAACTATTATGCTAAAAGTGACATGTACATTTTTAAAAAAACAAAACCAATACATGTGAGTACGAACATATCAGCTGTTCCGAACTGAACAGGAGAATCACTACTACTTGAAAACTTCCAAGTGAGTGCATACTTTCTGGCTTAAATGTGGACTTAATCTTTGGTGTTCAAGGGAAGGGATTCATGGCCAGTTCCCACAATATACCAAGGAGACACTTTGTATTGCGGCACTGACGCTAGGCGTTAGGCTACAATCAATACTACTGGTGGCATGCTCTGTCACTGAAATAAAACTGATTGTTCTGCAAATAAAGTTGCATTACTAACAAAAAGAAGGGACATGCACTTATAATTAGAGTATTAAACCTCCCAATAATCCTGATACATAAGAATTATTATCCCCATTTTAGAAACAGGAAAATTGAGGCTGACATAAGTTTAAGATTCAATCCTGGATCTTGCTCCAAAGAGCATGGTCTTGCTATTCCTTTAAAACAAGGGTTGCACTTAATGAGATAACATGTGGTTAAAGGTCATCCTCTTTACAGGTAACCTTAAAAGATAATCCAGCAATACCTGCTGAAAAGAAAAAGTCTGTAACATAATGTGAACAAAAGGTAAACTTGACACTAATAAATGCTGAGATAATGTTTTATCAACAAAAGCTGTAAAAATAGCCCTGGCTGGTGTAGCTCAGTGGACTGAGCATGGGCCTGTGCACCAAAAGGTTGCTGGTTCGACTCCCAATCAGGGCACATGCCTGGGCTGCAGGCCAGATCCCCAGAGTTGGGGACACATGAGGGACAACCACACACTGATGTTTCTCTCCCTCTCTTTCTCCTTCCCTTTCCCTCTCTCTAAATAAATAAATAAAATCTTAAAAAAAAACATGTAAAAATACCACATGAAATCTTCTTAGAGAAAAGGGAAATAAGATTTCAGAGAAAGGGTAACAAATATCAAAAAATTACAATAAAAATATTGCCAAACAAATATGTTAAATAAACATGCCATGGAAGAATTTAAGATGAAGTTCAGCTCCTATATTTAGGTACTATAGTAGCTAAAGTTTGGGTACTATATTTAGGCAAGAATCAATTATCTGTATTACTCACCATTACCTGCCCCAAACCATCACCACCACAAATAATTCCCTATTCTCTCTCCTGACTTAATAACACATTAGAGTTAAGGTATTACTTCAGTTTTTTAAGCATTCGAAATTACAATTAGATGAGATGACAGATCTAAAAAAAAAAAAAAAGCCACATGATCTTCTATTTAAATCTTTATTTCTATTGGCCTATTAATTTGAACTGGCCTTACTCCTACACTAGAAATTTCTGCGATCCTTCAATGCTACCAAATTCTTAAGTTCTTGCAGCAAAGCACTTGTGATTTAAAAGGAACAATATTTAGCCCTGGCCGGGTGGCTCTGTTCATTGGAGCATTGTCCCATACATGGAGAGGTTCAATTCCTGGTCAGGGCACACACCTAAGCTGCAGGTTCAGTCCCTAGGTGGGGCAGGTGTGGGAGGCAACCGATTGATTTTTCTCTCTCTCCCTCCCTCTCCCTTTCTCTCACTGCACCCCCGGGTTTCTTTCCCTCCCCTCTCCCACCTTCCACTCTCTCTAAAATCAATAAACATATCCTCAGATAAGAATACAACAATAAAATAAGATAAAGGAAAATATTTCTATCAACACACTCATGCATATTTAACATAAACTGCTTGGGTCCCACACGAATCTCTGCCAGGTTAGGAAGTCCCTTTATCCCAGACTCAGAATTCTACTTGCTGCCAAGCCAACCCTGAGTAAAGCATTCCCACAGCACAGTTACCTAGTCATACACATTACGAGCAACCTCTATGAATGGCAGGCCCTTTATGGGCAGAATTTCTATGTCGTGATAAATGACCCACTTCAAAGAGAGCGTAACTTCCAGGCGCTTCTTTTTATGGGTAGCCCTGCGGCTTTAGGACATGGTCACATCCAAGTCCACCATCCTGTGCTCGCGCAGCCCCCTGGCAACCTGCCACCAGAAGCAAACCTCTCGTCTAACCACCTCTTCCCAAATATCAACACCAACACCCTAATGTGGAAGATTCTGCATGGCTTGTGGGTTTTGTTTTGGGTTTTTTTTTTTTTTCACCAAAATACAAACAACACTCCTTTTAAAGTCTTCACCTAAGCCTTCCGTGACCGTTCTTCACTATCAGGGTCAGCAGACACCTGCCCCACTCAGCCCCTCACACTGGACAAAGCCACAGAGCTCAAGTTCAACACCTAGAAGTCACGTGAAGGTTCCCACCAACGTTTCGGAAGAGTTAACCGAAAGCAAGATCTGCTCTCCCCGTGATGTCATACCAAAACTGCTGAAAAACCCAAATCTCGCCGAGCATCAGCTACTGGACCCACATTTACTGACTGCGTGAATGAAAGACTGAGTCAACATCTTGGCTTGGAATATTCAGTTTATAAATATAGCTCCAAATTCTAAAAATAAAAATTAGAAAAAAAAAAGAATAAAAATACATTCTAAAAGTGAATGAACTCTATTTGGTATTTGCCCAATACCAAATTCACACAAAGCTGGAAATCTGTGTCATGCGTTTCAAGGGTTTATTACAGGTCGATGAGCAGTAACATTCTTACCCAGCTCTGGGGGGTACAGGAGTAACAACATCTTCCCACGAACGGCCTCTTCCGGCTCAGTAGGCTTTCTTTCCATTTTAAGGTTGCAGATCTGAAGACAGTAGGTCTGAAACCACACTCATCCTAGAAGATGTTAAGGAAAAAGTGGTCACTAAATGGCAAGAAAATGATACATGTCCACATGATCTCTAACACTGATATTCCAGCTGAAGGAGAAACATATGAGACATTTTCTTTGAGTGTTGTGGTATAATTATGTGTTTCTCAGAGTGGTTTCCATTCAAGGTACTCCCTCCGAGGTCAGCTCTTTGAACAAGAGCAAAAGCTGAGGACCTAAGAACAGCAAAGCTGGCAAAACACACTGAACACTCAAAGCAGCATTCAGGGTTTTCAAACAACGTTGGCAAAGCTCAAACAGCCTCTCACGATAGCGAGATGAATAAAATCAGACTCCCGGATCCCTATGTTTAGAGTTTATCTCACTCTCTCCTAAATCATACACTCCCACAGAACTATTTACCAAGGCCTTACATAGTGAGCAAGTTGTTACAATACAGCTTAAACTGTTTTGCTTGAAATGAAAAACAAGATACACTTACAGAACATTCCTTTATCCTAACGAGAAAGTGTAAAGGCTGAAACTGAAATTATAGCTGTATTGTACAATTAGGGCCAAACTCTGCTCTTCCATTCTAAACATTTTTTTCCTAACTTTGAGTTCCTCAGTTGCCCAAATGCTAGTGATACCGCAGTCTCAAAAATAAGCACAAAAAAAAAACCCACAACCCATCATCACTTTTTATATAAAGCAGATAGTGTTCAAGAAATATTTTAAACATGTCATGTTATGTTGAACTAGAGAAAATAACACAAGATAACGTTTGCCCTTTGGATTGGGTTCATGCTAAAATTTATTTCCTATTTTTAATTTTTTGAAATAAACTTTATTTTCATTAAAAATTATACTCATTAGATATAAGTATGGAAAATAGATGCAGAAACACTTTTTAAATATCTTTATAATGACACCACCCTGAACAAATACTAGTAGGTTTTTTTCTATTCAAAAGTATTTTGTTTTTTATTATGTCTGTAGTTAAATTTCTTACTCAGTTTTCCCTCCCAGTTATCAATATACAGTCGGCTCCAGCATTTCCACCTTCATAAAAAACTGTACTTGAACAATGATTAAAATTTTTTAAAAAAAATTTTAATTTAAAAAAAGAAATTAAATCTAGGAGAAAAAAAACAATATTGCAATGAACGTCTTTAGGCTGACCACTTTAAAATCCACATTTTAATCGGAAACTTACCCACTCCTCACTTGCATGCTTACATTGGCCGACACTGCATTCTGCTGAATTTGGCAGATAAGAAACATCTATCGTGCCAAGGGTCAGTGCGGATTCATCCATGACATAAAGTGTGACTCCTAAACCATGTGCTGTAAAAAATACATACACCATTTAAGTCAATGAGGACTCCAGAGGGTAAATACCAGAACTCAAAATTCTGATTTCCACATGATTCTGCTCCATAAGAGGGGGTCAGATGAACTACTGACCGACTTCCACCAGGTCCAGTCAAAGTGTAGAAATGGACTTTGATGTGTTTGTTATGAATTCAGTTAGGCAGAATCGATTTCAAAATAATCAATCTTTGTACCTTTAGATTTCCTAAACAAAACAGCTATGAATTTGTAAGAGTAAATAATAGCTTATTTCAGGTACATGACAAAAAATGATTTTGTTTGTGTTAATAACTGAATAATTTCTGGAGGAAATGAAGGCATGTGTTTATTTAATTAAATATAAGTTATAGTTCTGTGCTGGGAATTTTAGGTCGGACATACTATACAATAATGCAAAGAGGGTACAGGTGATGAGGGCACCGCTAGTTTCCCACTTAGGCGGAATTAAGCTCTCAATTTTCTTGTGATGCCTTAAACGTGCTATTTGCACTTTTAGGACATCTGCAAAGCCCTAAAACAAAACCACCCTTTATGAAATATCTGTTTGATAAGTTTTCACCCTTTTCAACAAGTCTTTGCCTACCCTACAGGAAAACGTTCACTAACAATGAACGGTTAAAGAAAGTTCATGAAACTTTCAGATATGAACCTAAAATATAAAAACTTCCATCAATAAGTTTAGAATTATTTTTAAGATGGCTTTTGGCTATTTTTCACCTGGCCTTAAATTATTCCTTTGAAACTCTGAAAGGTCAACCCCAGCCTAACAGTGTTCCTTCGAGGTCATGCTGACTCCTTCTCAATCGCCACATGGGTTTGCTGCAACAACGTGTCCTAGGGTAACTACCATACGCGTCCTTGACAATTGACGTAAGTTCACAATCGAACACGACAGGCGAGAGGAAGAGGATAGTAAGGCGATGCACGTGGCAAGAAAGCTCTTCTGTAGTATAAAGTACAACTCGGCTCTCGGTTTCACGGAGTCACAACAGGGGGAGCCCGGTGCTGCCAGAGAAACTGAAGACGCGCTGGCCCCAGCGACCAGAGGAGGGGAAGAGAACGCGTCTCGTGCCAATGGAAAGTCCACGCTTCGCTCCTCCCTCCCTCCCTCCAGCGTTTATCCAAGGTCGAGAAGTTTAAAAAAAAAGGAAAAGAAAATCGGAGGTGCCAGGCTATGGACTGAGGGGAGCCAACTGTGGGCTCTGAAACACACAGAGGCAGGAGGGCAACTCTGAAGTCACACATCCCCAAGTTCAAATCCCCGTCTTACCACAAGCGGGGCTTCAGACACACTGGTTACCTTCGAAACCCTGGTTTTCCCATCTGGAAAATGTGCATAATATGATAGCTCTTTCCTCCTGGGATGCCGGGAGGACTGGAAAATACCTATAAAGAGCCTCGCACTGCGTCTAACTCTCAGCGAGCGCCTGTCAGCGCCAAGTCCCAGCACCGGCCGTTCCCGGAGCATCCCTGCCGCCGCAACGCCGGAGCCAGCGCCCCGCGTCCCGTCCGAGCGCGCAGGGCACCGAGTCCACCGAAGAAGCCCGGCCCCAACCTGATCCCCCGGAAAAGCGCAATCCCGACCCCCCCACTCCGGCACTAGCTGGAGCCCATTTCTCAGGGGGACCCCCGAGCTCGGGGGAGAGGTCGGGGGACACATACCGCCCGGCAACTTGCAGGAGTCACGCGGGCTCCGGCGCAGAGGCGACCACGCACCTGTCCCGACGCTCCCGGCCCCTGCAGCCCGCCGCAGCCCGCCGCCGCCCTGGCCGCAGGCGCTCGCAGCTCCGCCGGCTTCACGGGCTGCAGCTGCCGGCCCTTCAAGTCTCCGCCGGTGCTCGCTGCAGTGTCGCGCTCCGGTGACGCAACGGGCGCCCGGGAATGACGGGCCAGCCGCGAGTCCGTTGGGCTGGGGTGGCCCGGGGCCCCTCGCACACTGCGTGCGGGTCTCGGGGGAGAGTGGGTGCACTGGAGTGTGCGTCTCGGCGGCTCAGCAGGGTGTGTGCGTGCCCAAAGGAGTGGTTATTCTGCCTCGGCGCTGACTCACGTGAGCGTGTGTGCCTAAGTTTGCATTGTGCAAACTGCTCCGCTGGGACCTTGTATATCCAAGCGCCGTGGATTTCTGTGTACATGTGTGTTCCGCTTTGTTAAGAGCTTTGTAAGACTGTAGAATTTATTAGGGATGGGGTAGGTGGGGACTGGGGACGGCCCTGTTGTGTAATTTCTGTAACAGTGGTTGAGTGCCTTTTCCTTAAAGGAAGAAAATGAGGAATGAAAAAAAATAAATAAATAAAGCAAATAAGTCGTGAAAGATCTGACCCAAATTCGCCTACCTTCAGCCTTTCAAAGTAACGCTGGGGACAGAGAGGTTCTTTCACAATATTTTTCCTGCTGTAGACAAGGCCACTGCTTACCCAGAGCATCAGTAAATTAGGAAGAAATCGATTACCTCTTGTATGCACTCAAGCCGCAATCATTACATTTGAACTAGCAGCTGAGAATACAAACATGATTAAGAAATAGTCCCTGCCTTCACACCTCTGCCACCAGTCCTCATCTCCCTGGCACACATTAACCCTAAGCGTCTCTTCAGAACACACCTTTGGGTCATGCCCACCCATCAAAAACCATCCAGAGCTTTCTGACAGCTCACATGCCCGGGCCTGGCACAGAAGGCAATCACAGGCAGGCTTCCGCTTTCCCCACTATTCTCCCGCAGGAGCCCCTTGCTCCAACTTCTCTGACTGTCCCCAGACATTACAGGACATTACTACTCCTAACTGTGCTCATGCCAACACTTTCCCCTGCGATCTTTTGTTCCTTCCTGAACTAGGTCTCCAAGCCTTTCTTAATCTCCCCAGCCCTCACTAATGATCCTCTCCTGGGAAGCCGCACAGATTTACTGCCGTGCCACACCTTGGGTCTCTATCCATTGTGTCATTCTTCCACAAGATAATGAACTCATCATCACTGTCAGGGACTTGCCTCAGTCTCTTAGGTAAGACTGGAGTGCTTTGTAGTATTAAGCACTCAGTACACACTTGTTGGAGCTGGGGAACGAGAAGAAAAACAGGAATTCCTTCTCTTGAACTTTCTACTTCTGTTTTAAATTGATCCCAAAATGCAGGTGTGCCCCTTTGAAAACAATCATGGAGACACACACACACACACATATACACATTTATATCTTGAAGTTTAAGGCCCTGTTTTTATCAACCCCCATGCTCCTTAGCTCCAAGCACACACCTAAGTACTCAAGGACTCTGCTAACCAGAATCAGATAAATTCTAATGCCAAAACATCATAAAATTTTATGTACAGATCACTGGTACCTGACCAAAAAAGGAAAAGAAAAAAAGAAGGGAGAGGGGAGAAAACAAAAACAAAAAAAGCCTCAGGATTTGAGTCACTGCTCAACAGAAAGTAAGGCAAAATGAAGCAGATAAAACATTACAGGAATTAAAAGGTAAACCACACAGGGAAATGAGATTGTTTTACGTGAAGTTCATTTGTGGGACTCGTAACACCCATTGTACAAGAGTATATTGTACTTATAGGAGATGTGGATTGCACATCTTCAGGTTACTTAATGAGAGTTGTTTTGGAAACAAGTGACACCCTTGGCAAACTTTCTTATCAACAGAACCACAATAACCTAAAATGATCTAGTCCAGCCGGCCAGTATGGAGCAACCAGGACTGAGTTTACTCTCCTCTTAAAACAACTAAAACACACCAGGCAAAATAAATACAGCAGGCAGCAGCGCAGGGCACTTGTCTATCAGGGAGAAAAAAAGAATGGAGATAAAAATAAACAGAGTATCAATGAGCTTAATAAACAAGCAATTGGATTCCCTAAAGTAAAGGAGAAATATGATAGGAGAGGTCAGGGAGGACAGAAAATATTTGTAGAAATAATGGCTGAAAACTTTCCAAATTTCAATGAAAACTGTAAACTCACAAATCCAAGAAGCTCAAAAAACTCCAAGTGGAAACATGAAGGAAACTACACCAAGAAACATCTCAATTACATTCCTTAAAACCAGTGGGAAAGTGAAAATTTTTTAAGCAGTCATAGAGAAGCAAACAGGCATTACCATGCAAAACAACAAAGGTAAAAATGACACTGGACTTCTCATCAGAAATCTGCAAACAAGTCGACGGTGAAACAGCATCTTTAAAGTACTGAAAAAAAAAGTCAGTCTATAAAGACATGTTGTGACATACAAAATCTGAAAGTATATATATATATATATCACCAGCAGACATTTAGTATGAGAAATGTTAAAATCCTTCAGGTAGAAAGAAAATACAATCAAACAGAAAGCTGGGTCTGCACAAAAGAATTAAGATCTCAAGAAATCATATGTAGGTAGATAAAATGTTTTCTCCTTTTAACAAGATTCTGTTCAAAGATAATTGCCTAATGCAAAAATCAACAGTATGTTGGGCAGCTTGTAACATATGTCGAAGTAAAACATATGACAACAGCACAGCACTCAGAAAGGGGCGAGTATTCTGTTGTAACATTCTCATACTAAGCCTTAAGTGGTCCAATATACTTGAAGGTAAATTGCGGTAACATGGATACTCTAACTCCTGTAGCTAATACATCAATGAAGAGAGTAAAGTAGAATCGTTAAAAGAAAACTCACACGAGTTTAAAAGAAATAAGTAAATGAGGGTAAAGGAGGAATGAATGGGATACAGAGAAACACAGCAAGGTGTTAGATTTAAAACCAAACATGTAAGTAATTACTTACCTCCAGCTGAAAGGCAGATTGTCAGACTTTAGAAAAAAAGCAAAAAACAACAACTGCTGAGTATTAAAAAAAAATCACTTTAAAATAAAGGCAAATAAATGTTGGGGACCGCACTGACTGGTATCAGAAGCTGTAACACCCCCTGCCAAGGCTAAGGCTGAGGGAGTGGCCTTGGACCATAAGCCAGCAAGGAGACAAAAGCTTATCTCCCTGACAGGAGCGCTGCTTCTGCTGCTTCATCCATAACTGGCCCCCAATGCTTGGTCAGTTAGCCAATGACAGGCAAGATTCCCCAAGGGGGGAATGATCTAAGACAGGCATGATCACGTGGGAGGCCCCCAAGAAAGGACTTTGGGGGCTACAGCAAAAAGGGATGATGGACCCTCGCCCCTCGGCTTTGACACAGCCTGAGTCCTCATAGTCTGAGAGAAAATCTCCTTATCTCTTGGTTGCCTTAGTTCCCTTGCTCCACCTAACCCTGAAACAATGACAGGGTGGTGCAGCTCTGTGCTGAAAAGGGTGAGTTCCCCGGATGATGAGGCTTAAGAAAGAATATGTAAAATCCTGTGAAACCTGCTTTGTTTAGAATGCTCTCGGTGAAATGATAAGGGTTCAAGGAAGAAGTAAGTTTGTTCCTCAAAGATTTACAGCTCTTTCACCCTGACTCAGAATAGGCCCTCAGACTTCCTTGTTATCTGTTGTTTGATCCTTACTTCCCAGCATTGTTTAATGAGCTTTACCTGAATTCTTATGCAAACGAAACGAATAAAAAGCCTCTTTGGAGGGGGAATGGGGCGCGCTCTCCCCACCAGAGAGAGTGGCCATTCCGTTCCCACTTCCCCACAGAACCTGGTTGTCTCTGTGCATGTTTTTCTGGCGTGTTGACGAGCCATCCACAGCGCTCCGAGGTCACTGCCGGCTGGTGATCACGTCAAATAAAAGTCAAAGACTGAAAAGCAGTGTACCATGCTAATGACAATCAAAAGAAACACAGGTGGTTATGTTAATGTCAGACGAAGTGATTTCGATGGAAAGAATGTTACCGGAAATAAAGACGACCATTCCATGAGGACAAAGGAGTCTGTCCATAGGAGGAAAACCAATTCTGAACATTTATTGGTCTAAAAGAAAAAAAAAAACTCATGGGCACGGACCACAGTGTGATGATCACCAGGAGGAGGGGGCCGAGGAGGGGGAGGAGGGTATGGGGTGCTAAGTGGTGATGGACAGAAACTACTTTGGGGTGCTGAACACACAATTCAGTGCACAGATGCTGTGTTGTACAGTTGTGCACCTGAAACCTGTATAATTTTATTAACCAGTGTTACCCCACTACATTTTAAAAATGCATCTAATAAAGAGCTTCCATTACATATGGATGAAACACTGGAGAATTGCAAGGAGAAATAGAAAAAATTAATGATTATGAACAGCGATTTTAATCCCCCTCTCTCAGTGCCTGACAGAGCAAGGAGGCAGCAAATCAGAAAAGATGCGCACGGCTTGTGCAGTGCTATCACCCAGTTCGGCCTGACTGACATTAAGAACACTGCACCATGCACTGTGGATGTACACTGCACTCAGCAGCAGGAGAGTCTTTCTTTCCAAGTGCACAGAGAACATTCCCCACCATGCACTGTATTGTGAGCCATAAAACAAGTCTCAGTAGATTTAGAAGAATTCAAATCATACAAAAAAACATATCCTAACCACAATAGACACTAGAAACCAATAGCTTATAGGTATCCAGAAAAAAAACCATACCTTTGGAAACACGCTTCTAAAAATAACATGGTTTAAAAGAGAAATAACAATGGAAATTAGAAATTATTTTGAACAAAATGATATTGAAAACCCAACATGTCATCAATTGAGGGCTATAGCTAAAGCAATACTTAGTGAGAAATTTATAGAAGGAAAACTCTATGAATGTAAAAAAACAAAACACGTAGTAAAGCATTTAGTGTTCCCAGTCATCTTCCAAAACCTGAAAGACTCCCATTGCAGAGAGGTGGAAGACTGCAAGGAATGTGGAAAAACCTTCAGACGTTCTGGTGTGTTACAAATGCACAATGTAAATGCAAACCCTGCAAATGTAAAAAGTGTGGGAAAGCATTCAGGTGCTCCAGTCATGGAGAGAAACCCTATGCATGTGAGCGTTGGGGTAAATTCTTCCTTTCTTGCAGAAGCATTCAAAGACGCATGGAAATGCACA